AGAATCAAACCTCAAGACTTTAATACGTGCAGAAAATTGAGTCTCAACATACGCCACAAAGGTCTTGAAAGCTGAAAAGACCTCAGATTTGGACCGAAGAAAATAGGCCCAAGTATACCGACTATAATCATCAATGAACGTCACAAAATACTTATATTGAACATGAGAAATTACAGGTGTAATGCCCCTTAAGTCACTATGCATAATATCAAAGCACTTTTCTGCACGACTACCAGGCAAAGGAAAAGGAAGAGTTTTACTCTTACCTAATTTACATGTGGAGCAATCAAAAGATAAATTATGTGAAAATTGATCTTTATTACCCAACAAACCAGAGTTCAACAAATGAGACAAAACAACAGAATTGGGATGACCCAAACATTTAAGCCATACTTCACTCTTATTGTTAACAGTTGTACAAGCCAAAGATAAACAACTAGGAATGGAAAAATGCAGTGGAAACAATCTGCCAACCTTAGGCCCCTTCGCGAGTATCTTCCCCGACACCTAATCCTGCACAAGACAACCATCACGAGAGAAATGAACATCACTATGGTTATCAACTAACTGACCAACCGAAATAAGACTAGTAGAAAGTCCAGGGGCTACAAAAACATCTTTGAAAGATGGACTAATATCTCCAACATCATTAATATTTAAATGACTCCCATTAGCAATCTGAATATGTGATGAGCCATGATATTTACAAATATTTCGAAGAGTTTCAGATGAACTGGTCATATGATTAGACGCACCAGAATCTACAAGCCAAGATTGAGATGAAGTATTACCATTGCCTTGAAGTCCTAATGCTGAAAAGGTTGAAACAATCATTTGTTGAACCATTTCAGGAGTAAGAATATATTGTCCAGCAAAAGTAGAATTGTTTAAAGACACTACTGGAGCAAAAGAAGAAGCATTAGCGTGACGATTCTAAGGTCGAGTAGGACAGTCCTTGATAATATGACCTTGTTTCTTACAATAGTTGCAAGTTTTCTTTGCACAGCTGGCAGCAATATGCCCATACTGCTTGCAGCTAAAACATTGGACTTTGCACATATCCCTACCCTTCCCTTTTCCTTGAGCTGCATATGCCACGTGATCATTATTGGATATCATGCGGTCCTGCTGGAAAGTAGCCAGTGTGAGAAGACGTTGTTCTTCACGACGGAATTCTCCAAAACAAACATCCAAGGATGGAGAAGAATCCCGATTCATCAAATGCGAGCGAGTAACCTCAAATTCATATCGCAATTTCATCAAAAACTGATCTCTCTTGCTTTGCTCATGAACTTCCTGAACAGCCGGAAGAGATTCAGCTGGTACCTTCGCGTAAACCATGTCAAAAAATTCTGCCCATAAATTCTGAAAACCAGAAAAATAATCTTTAACGGAGAGATTGCCTTGAGTGTAACTAGCAATCTCATACTCCAATTGAAAACGTCTTGCTATATTGTCGTGATTGTAAACCTTTTTCAAATACTCCCACATGATTTTAGCAGTCTTATATGGCCTCAAATTAAGAACAATAAGTGGATCAACAGACTCTAAAATCCATGTCATCGCACGGGTATCTTTAACCTTCCATTGAGCTAACTTTGTAGGATCCGTTGGAGCTGGATCACTTCCATCAATATGGCCTCACAAATCCTTTTCAGTAACAAATAATTGAAACTGAATTTCCCAAGCATAATAGTTTTTACTAGTGAAATGCACACCGAAAGATTCAGAGTTGCTGGTTGACATGATGCTCGAATGACTCAAATCCACAATACAGCAACACCGGGTATGTACCAAGGAAAACAGTAAATCCAAGACACCAAAAAAAACACATCAGAAAACTGGGAAGTTATCAACAATCCACAACGCAGCAACCCCCAAAACGACACAACAATGACACAGAATTTTGACAGCCAAGAATGCTAACAGAATTCACCCAAATAAAAAAAAACTAACACCAAAAGAGAAACCCAATTAATCCCACAATAAAAACCACCCAAGAGAAAACTAGAAAAACTCTAATTTAATTTTTTGGCTCTGATACCATGTTAATGATCCTGAATACCTCTCAATGAGAGAGTTTCCTCTATTAAATAGAAACTCTAGAGCATAATACAGGCCAAAAAATCTGTTAATTACAGCTCCTAATCTATTTAAATATGGAATGCAATATTCCCTACTAATTACAAATATTAACAGTTAATATACAATAAACATATATAGCAAATATGGATAGACATGTGCTGGTAATGACAACATACATATCCCATATCCCAGTGACACCACCTACACAAGGAAGATATCTCCCACATATCACTCACATTTGAGCACTCTATACCTCTTGAATAATAAAATACTCAGGTCATCCTAGTCCTTCCTGCTAAAATAGGTCAACCTGACCAAATCACTTGAGCTGTATTTTGCTTGTGCAGTCTCTCATCATTTATTACTACATTTAATACTTGACAGGTGATGCATAAACACGTTTTGTGCATCATCAATATTGATTAATTCAAGTTGATTGAATTGCACTAAAAAGCCTATCTTCAAACCCTTAATTAAACTCCATCATCCCTTCCAAACTGTATATCTATAACATGGCGCAAGAACAGGAGCCACTTGAGGGTTCATAGACTTTCCTCTCCCNATATATATATATATATATATATATATATATATATATATATATATATATATATATATTATATCCTTTAAATTATTGTAAGTTAGTCAAAAACTATTGTAAGTTAGTCAAAAAGTTGGTTGATGTAAGTTAGTCAAAATTATTCTCTCTCTCTCTCTGCTTTAAATTATTGTAAGTTAGTCAAAAATTATTGTAAGTTAGACAAAAAGTTAGTTGATGTAAGTCGGTCAAAATTATTCCCTCTTTATATATCTGTATAATAAAATAGAAGTGTGTTTGAATTTTATCTTACTTATATTTTTTTCCTTAAAATCATCATTAATTACTTACCTCATCTATCATCTATTTGTCAGACTCAAACGTCAAATCGTATCACTTATTTTTATTATATGTTTAATCATTTATATATTTCTTCACTAAAAATATCACATCACTGATTTTTATCATATATTTAATCATTTAATATTTGATTAATTTATAATTAATATATTTTGAAAAAAATTAATATAATGGGATCGATTTTTTAGAAGTTCAAATTTTATATTTTATCATGTTTTTAGGCACGAGTTAAAACTAATATATATATATTCGAATGATCAAAATATTGTTTCGTTGTATTGTTTTGGTCACCTGTGAAACGGAAATATTTCAACCTATTTCGGAAACATAATAAAAAAATAAGAAATTTAAAAATTATTTTTCTAAAATATTGATGAAAATATATCAAATTATCTTGAAATACCTTAAAATATTCCACAATAATTATGCAAATGCATTAAAATATTAGAATTTCAATTTCATCACTGTTTCATTTCTGATTTTTTGAAAATGGAAACGTTTCAGACGTTTTGACCGTTTCAAAACGATATTTTGATCCTTGATATATCCTTTAAATTCTTTAAATTATTTTCCTCAGATTTATCACTTAATCTCTCAAATCTCCTAATATTTGAAATATTATACATAAACCCACTGAGGTTTGTAGCGCGTAACATTTAGACTCTACCATCAAATATCCGTTAGCACACCTGTTAATAAATTATGTTCAAACCCCCTAAATTTTATAGGTACATAATACTTATATCCCTCAAATTTAAAATGTTATAATTAAACAAAAAATATTTCAATCAAAGTTTATAGGTATAGAAAATATTTTAAATTTTATAACTCAATATTTAAATATATTTTAATTAGAGAATTACACCTAAACTTCCTAATTGAATATTCTCTGAGCATGTAAAAGAGACATTTTGTTAAAACAAAAAAGAAGGTTTGACTACAATATCAAAAAAAATTGTGGATTATGTTATTTTTTGAATAGAATTTATCAATTTTTAATACAGCACACTCATTTTGAGTTCACTTTCTATTTTTTTTTAGGTAAAACTTATCATTTTTTAGATAAAACTTTTAAATTTTTTGAGTNATATTTTTTAACGATTATATTAATATATATCAACGAAAAGTGGTTATGTGTTACACATGCATAAACGTCATGAGATGTAAGGGAAATATTATAAATGTGAAGAAGTTCAAATGATTAAGTGACAAACATGAGGGGATCAAGGTATAATTTATTAATTTAATTTTAGGTGCACATTGATACAAATTTCTATCTTTGAAGGTGCAAATTGAGATTTTTTATCTTTGGGGATGCACATTGATACAAATTTCTATCTTTGAGGGTGCAAATTAAGATTTTTGATATTTGGGGGTGCACATTGATACAAATTTCTATCTTTGAGGGTGTAAATTAAAATTTTTGATCTTTGAAGGTACAAATTGAGATTCGAACAATCTTTCGGGGTGCAAAATGAGATTAACCCATTTTTTTTTCACTTTTGATATGGTAATAAACGTAGTATTTCCCCGTAAAAAAAAGTCTAGAATCTTCCTGCAAGTCGCCAGCTTGTCCCAAATAATTTTCCAAACTATCATTGAAAAACATGTTTAGGGTACATTTTTACACTCTATTTGTATTTGTATCAGGGATAATTCAAATACATTAAACTGCTTGTATCACTGCAACAAAGGTAACCCAGAAACATGATCATTTTGAGCTCAAGTTCCCAATCTCACCAACTTGTCAACTTACCTAATACAGACGAACTATAAGCCCGTGTCCAGCACCAATGGACTCAGCTTGCAACAGTAAGACAAACATACGAAATCACTCATAGACGCATAGTCAAAGAAACATATGTTATACCTTCCCAATTCAGAAAGATAGCTTCAGGCCTATGATTCAAACCCAAAAATTACATCAACTATTCTCTATTTATTTATGTGAGCGTGTGTGTGTGTGCTCGCGTGTGTTTTTTTTTTTTGGGGGTGCGTGAGCAAAACAGATAATGTGTAACCATATTGCCCTATAGATATATATATCCGAGCATACATATTCAGTACATAGGTAAGGATAGTTTAGGCAAAAAGGGCTAAACAAAATTCATAATTGGAAGGGCCTCATTTTGTTACATTCCCTCTTGTTTCAAGTTCAGCAACTTTGCCCTTTGCCCTAGACTATTTCGATGATGCTTAAAAATTACAAGTTAAGACGGGTAAAAAAATAAAAAACGTTAATCTACAACTGGCTGCAGAAATTTAGAATGCCATCTGCAGAAGAATAACCTCCAGGTAGAAGGATATGAGAGGAGCTTTTATTTCTCATGAACAAGAGGGCCGTAAACAGGATACCACATGTTGTGCACGACATATTGCACAGTCTCTTCCTGCATCCAACGAAAGAAAGCAATAGACAGCATACATTATTAGAATTTCAGAATATGCATTTTACCTTTTTGAATCGAGTCTATAGCTTTCACTTTGTAATAATTGTTGTGTTTTAAGATTAGGTGTAACATTATTTTCATCATTTTACCCTAAAACATAGTATTTTTCATCCAAGATGTATTCCATGGTCATTTTGCATTTTTCTTGGGAAGTAAGGTTGAAATTGGTTCATACTTTTGACATTTGTGCAAGCTCCCTTGCCCC